CCTGCGAGCCTGAAAACAGACGTGGGTCAGCAACTAAGCTGTGTGTGTGGATCTTTCCCACGACCTAATTTTGGGACCACAATCAGCTAATCAAACAATCATAATTTAGTACTCAAGATGCATCTTAAATCATCATATAGAATCCACCAACTCATCATCACCAAATCAATTTATCCCAAATAAGATAATCACATATTTCACGAACACATAATCAATGCATGATATGAAAATTCCCATTAATTATCAATGGCGCCAAGGTCACCATACACTTACCCCCGCTCGAGCAAATCATCATCCGTGGTGCTCATGCAACCACCATACGCGCAAATGCGAGCTAGATCTACCCAAACCCATAATCATCTGGGGGTAAAAGTGCAGGCCCTTTCTACGTCTATGTGAATTAATATGATCACGAATCAAACAATTGCATTTCTCTCATCCATCACAAACGATCCGGAATCAATGCAGTCCCACTGATTAACCGGTCCATGCATAATCGATCCAGAATCAGTGCAGTCCCACTGATTAACTGGTCCATGCATATCTCACGTCAAACATTTCATCAAACCAATTCAGGAATCAATGCATTCCCGTTGAGTTCCCAATCCAAATGGATCTCATGTTTCTCATCTCATCAACTCATCATCATCTCAATCAATCCAGGAATCAATGCCATCCCACTGATTCCCAATCCATACTTATTTCATGTTGGTTTTCAACTCGACATTCTCGAAAACCAATCCATCATCCAATCTCGAATCACATAAATCATCATCATCCTTCGGTAACAATACTCAACAGTTCTAGTTAATAATTCCTCATCCAAAATTCATCACACAACTTCATATAATAACCTCGGTTCAAAATAATCATGAATAACCGGTTTGCGATGAAAATACTTTTAATTCATTTTCCTTCGTTAAAATCCTCATAAAATCCATATAAATTATTTTATTGACACCAAATACCATTTACTCCAGTTCTGATCATAAACAGCCATTTAGAGAATAAAATCTCAGAATTTTCGTATTAACCATTATTTTACAATAATTTAAATTCTCACAAAACGGTAACTCCGAAAATCTCCCAAAAATACAAGAACCTTCATTTATCATCCTAAAACAGGTCTGTCCAGTTTTTATATTTTTCAACAGCTCGAAACATTGAAAATAATATTAAACTCGGTCTTTACCGCAAATCTCGTATTAAGCTCGTTTTTACCATTTTAAAGATAAAAACTCCACCAACGGTCTAATTTACCCTTTCCAGACCACAACCCAGTTAATAATCCATACTGGCCATTTTAAAGTGATCCAAATCTTAAAGATAAATAAAATACGTTTTTACCGAGCTTTTCGTAAAATTCACCGTTATGCAGTTTTTAATCCGCAACCCATTTTCAAGTGAAATCTTCTGCTCAATCTGCCCCAACATCATTTTAGACAAACAGAAATATCTTATATCAGTTTTAAACTCAATAAACCCAACTATCCATTTTCACGGTGAAACTTGTCAAATACCGATATTTACACCGTACAATTCATAACAACCAAGAATAATCACCAAATCATCATATCAACAAATAAGTTATCACCCACTGTAATCCATCCATCCAAATATGCAAATCAAGCATAAATAATCGATGCAATAATTAAGGTCCTCTTAATCACCACACACCTTAATTTAGCTGATTCCAAGTCGGGAATTAAGTTCTAAAATTCCAGAGATTGGCTCCTAAAAATTCTCCTTGTTTCTACGGTCCTGTAGGCGAAAACGGTTCGTCGTTTGGACGTCAAACGAAGAAACTGCGAGTTGATCATCGTTAGTACGAAATTAGGGATTAGTTCTTAATTTTCTGCTGTCCAAAATCTGCAGAAAGCTGGAAATTCCCTTACCTCAAGTACCAACTTCCCGGCCTTATTTCTCCCTCGTCTGAGCTCGGAATTCAATTCCGTAAACTCTGTGATGCTCGTGGTGACTTGCTCTTTGTAGCGGTATCAAGCTTCGAAGCTGATGCTGCCTGTAGTGGCACTGGTTTGGTTGACGAAAAGGTTACGGCAAATATTTCGGTAAAGGATATTTGGTGAGTTGGTTTTGCGATTTTGGGCTTGTAAACAGGTTTGTATAGGTTCTAAACCTTTGCTGGGAATACAGAAACTATGCTAGGCTTTGGTTTCATATTATTTCTTTTCTTTTCTCCGATTGGTGTTTGTACGAAGGCAAAAATGGAGAGCTAGCTTACCGGTATAATAGAGCTCTTTGATTCATGCTCTTACCTCTTCATTCACTTTCCAGCAGATGGAGTAAAGGCCTGGGGCGGCCTTCTAAGGAGCAGTAGCTTTGAAAGGAAGAAACTCAAGTTCCAAAGCCGGCTCCATAAACAAGCTAGTTGCTGGTGCAATGCCGACGTCATTAGCTCATTAATGACTCGGCTCCTTTTGTATCACTAAAACCAGCATAGTCTAACTGGTTATGTTTCTGAACCCTTCCTTACTGACCAACAGGTCAGGGGTTCGATTCTAAGTTGCACTTTTTTGCTGTTTGGGGAGTTTTTAAGTGATTTCGTTGATCCTACCTCGTATAGGATAACTTCTCGATTTTTTTTCCAGTCTCAAAACGTGCAATATATGTCCGCTACTTGGAAAAAAAATTTTAAGTGATTTCGTTGATCCTACCTCGTATAGGATAACTTCTCGATTTTTTTTCCAGTCTCAAAACGTGCAATATATGTCCGCTACTTGGAAAAAATTTATACGATGTTCGGGATGTTACATTATCCATCTCATAACTAACGAACATAAATTCAACTAACTAACAACAACATAATACGAAAATTAAATCATACTATAACTAACGAACATAAATTCAACTAACTAACAACAACATAATACGAAAATTAAATCATACTATAACTACTAAAAACATAATTAGACTATAATACGAAAAGTATAGACATACCGAAAAATTTATGTTCTGTGTATTATGCTCGATTTTGGTTGCTGAAATTTGAAGAAAGGGGAGTGGTTATGTTTTTACAACTGCTGGTGGTGTGCTATTTATAGGAAAATCTGCCTACTATTCACCGTTTTTGTCGAACACGGTGAACACCATCACCGCGTTTGTCTCAAACGGTGAATAGTTGGTAGCTGTGACCTAATTTTGACCTACCAGGGGTGGGAAACGTGGGAAAAGATCACCGCGTTAACCTACAACGGTGAATTTATTCACCGTTTTAACTAAAACGGTGATGTATTCACCGTTCTGATTAAACGCGGCGAATACATCACCGTTTTGGATGAAGGCGGTGAATACGTCACCGTTTTACTTTTAAACTGTGAAATATTCACCGTCTTTGTCAAACGCGGTGATATCCTTCACTGCGTTTGTCAAAAACGGTGAATGCCAAACATGTGTACTTTGGGAAATTTTTTTATAACTTATGTATTTTGGGAATTTTTTTTAAGAACGTGTGTACAGTGGGATTTTTTCCCGTTGCTAGAAGGTGAGGTTCCCAAAACGTCGTACAGAGAAACAAGTAGAAATGAAAACGAGGAAGAGTCGGCATTAACAGAAACCATGTGGGAGGCGGAGGATGATGAGGAAGAAACTAAAGAAGAAGAAGAAGAAGAAGAAAGGAGAATGGAATGGTTGGCTACATCATCATTCTCGACGAGAACTTGGTGACGACAATCACACCAAAGAAAAAACATACCTCGCAGAGCTCCTTTTAGTTAATGGAAGCTATGTGAAAAAAAGTCGTTACCGCCACTATATGTGTGTTCATTCCTCCCAATTTTTAAAATAAATTTATATTAATAGGAAATATTGGGAGTTAGGGGGTTGACAAATTGATAAGTGAGGATTTATTTTTAAACTTGGCTTGAATGATGATTTTAATGGAGATTAATTAAAATTACTGAATCGAAACTTCGGTAACAAGTGGATTGTTTCCTACAATGAAGGATCTATTGCCTTCTTGAGTAAGGGACGACTTACATGAAGGGTCGTTCAAATCATATTTATTATGAGTTAAATTAATTTTGGGAAATACTACTTATGTGGTAATTTTAAAAAGATAAAGCAAAATCATCTATTTGGTAATTTTAGGCCGAAATTTTTTAAAAAGTTAGGGTGTTAAATAAAAGTTCAGTATTTATATACAATTTTTATTGCTTATTTGGTAAAAAAAATTGGACCATGAATTCATTGAATCTATAAATTCAGCAAAAATTGTTTTTTTTTTGTTCTTTTTGTATCGTAGATTTTAGCTTCATATATTTATCTATGCCACTAAATATTCCCCATAAGATCTCAATATTTTTCGAGTCACTCCGATTAAGGGTAAACACATAATTTGATAAAAAAAATTAGAATTCTTATTTTATTGAATTTTAACAATATAGTTACCAAATCATACGTATTTTAAAATCTTTTTCCAACAATCCGAACATTAGAAATTTAGAGTCTAATTAGACTAATTACATTGGACCTAATTCAAACCCAACTCCAACCTAAAATTATGAAGAGTGCATATGAATATATCTTGGTCCAATTTAATGCCTATACAACTCATGACAATTGAGTTCCATGAGTTCAATTACCCAGTGAATCATAATTTAGCCTGTGCTAAAGGTAGTTTTTTCAGGAAAGCTGTGGCAAGTGTTTTGCTATCAGTAAGAAATGTTTTAGGATTTTCTCATCATTGGCACATTGATACTTTGCTAATAAGCTTAGCTTGGAAGGTCATACAACAATCGCTATTTAACCACTACATAGGAAAAGATCAGAAGATGCACAAACCACCAAGAACACGAAATAAATCAGTAACAAACTACCCAGAAACAAACAATTACAGTTTTCTAGTGAAGCATACTCATCCTGATACAAGAGCAAGCAAATTGGATGATATCTCACTGTACAAAGAGATGTTACAACAATCAATTTACTCCCTAACCCAAAAAAAAAAGAAATAACAAAAGAAAAAAACCAAGATCCAAACTTTATAGCTTGAGAGTCAGATCCGGCGCCGGAGAAGAAGAATCCACCACTTCCATGGCAACAAAACTACTAGTACTATTACTGTCTGACCGCCTCTCAGCAAACTGCAAATGACCAAAGTGCTGGTTGCCGTTATTGTGATTAGTAGTGACGGCAAATCCGATTCCTTCACCCGCGGCAACTACCTGCCGGAAACTCCCCGGCCAATACAACCCTACATCATCCTCCTCCGCCGCCGTCGTCAACACCGGCACCCCGTAGTAGCTCTGCTCGAATCTCGCCGTCGACAGTGGCTGCTGCTGCTGCTGCTGAGGATGCACCCTTTGGAAGGGGATGATGTTGTTGTTGCTGTGGTGAGTTGCGGAATGAGCCTTGATGCCGAGGTTTCGAAACGCGGAGACTCCGTGTAAAGGCAGGGAGGCCAAGCTGTTGTACCTGTCGGAGAAGATACCCATCCGCATTGCTCGCTTGGCTATCGTCCGCTCGCGCTTGTGGGCATTCTGGTGCCCGCCGAGGGCCTGCGAGCTGTAGAATTTGCGCCTGCAGTAGTTGCAGGAGAACACTCGTGGCTGTACCCCGGCTCCAGCTGGTGGTGGTGGTGTAGCAGGGGCGGCTGCATTGCCCGAGTCGTGTTCTGCTGCAGCTACTGCTGATTTGAGGTGAGCAGCCTCTTGGGAGTGCTGCAGTTGAAGCGAGAGGTCGAGGTCGAGGGAGAGCGATGAGGATGAGAGGGTTGTGGTGGTGGTGGCGGTGTCCTTCGAGGGGTCCGGTGAAGGTTCACTAGCAGGTAAGTTTGATGATGCTACTTGGCTGCTGCTTTCATGATCAGACTCGATCTCCGAGTCCAATTTAGAGTTGGGATGTTGATGCATGACTGCGTCTGAAAATGTCGTGAGGGGGTTCGACTTAAATGTTTACCCAACAATGGGCGATCAGGGAAGCAGGAAGTAAGCGATTCTCAGCTGCAATTAGAGAAGAATGTGTCATTAGTTACATTGTGGATGGGGAAAAACTCAGCAGATATGGTTGCTAAGAGCATAGCTGTAATCTAAGCACCGAGTCTTCATCACAGTATATAGAAGACAAAAGTATGGTTAGAGATCCACAATGGCCTTATGCACGTTCATAACGTACATAGGATGAACGATAAGGAAAGACGCTACACAATTTGCCCTATCTATAGGTTCTCCTAAGTGAAACTACATTTAACTCGCCTCTTTTAAATCTTAAATGCAATGTCTATATCTATATCAGTTGAAAGAAAAAGATTGGTCTTTGCAAGAAACCAGGAACAAGCAATTGAGCAACAAAGGGAAGACGTCATTAAGAGAGCTAATTCTGGCCTAGAGGTAAGAGATCATGCGATGAAATGTCCAGTGTCGTAAGACGAACTGCAACATCTGGACTGCACACACATCTACAATGCTCACCTTTGGTTAAGATTCTTCTCTTAATAAAACTTCCTCTGTTGCAAGATTTGTTTTCCATCTTTATCCATCCAACTAGTTCTGCACCAACTTACTATAGCCATCTATATCAATTATGTTTGTGAGTATCAATCTTAACCGCTATCCAATGCAGCCGATCAGCATTTTGCATTACTAATACTGTGCGTTAGTAACTGACCAAGAGGACTACTTGACCTTGTTCCAAGTTCATTTGTGCTCCAAGCATCAATGTTTTTCTTCCAAAAAATGAATGCCTGTTGAAGATCTCTTATCATATATAGATATAAAATGCACAACCGAAACTAGAGGTAGGGAATTCACAAGATCAAAGACACTGAATTGGTGTCATTTGTGGCTGGAACTATGAAGTGATTGGAGACAGCATAGAATGAACTTTACTACTTGCAGGAAGGAAAGCTGCCAATCTACTACGCCAACCAATCAATGATGAGTTACTTCGGTGAGCGCCTAACCTATTTGCATTTTGCATTGCATGATCTTAAACCAATCCAACCAACAACAAAAATACTAATTCAGACAAATAAACTGAAAAAGTTGAGGCCCTAAACCAGTAGAGATGACCCAAATTCCTAGTAGCCACGGTAACCATTGATCCACAGCATCCTCTTAAGAATGGGAACTAGTCCAATTCTTTTACAGTTTCATGATTATCTAAAGCTAAGCAAAAAGCATAGAGGTCCTACTCCTAATGAAAAGTCTTAACTTGCTGAGAAGCAGGACATCGATCCTTCGGAACCTAGAACAAATTACCAGAGAAAGACATGAAACTGAGGCCAGTTTGGAAAATGCTTAAACCCCAGATGCTAGACCATTGGCAATGTCTCACTCAGATGATTGAGTTTAGATGAGCCACTACTCAAGACAGTATTCAAACAGCCACTAAATCTCCAACTACAACAAGCACTTAGAATTCCAACAAAATCATTTCCTCAGCTGGTAAAGGTAAAAACTTTTGAAGGAAAATACACTCATCCAGCTTTCTGCGGTATTACCAGTACACTGTTTCAGCAGAAAGGGTTAATGAATCTGACCAAGTCTAAGCGAATAGAACAAAGAGGAGGTTAGCTTTTGCACATCAATTTCAAAGTAGCAGCACAAAAGAATGGAGCAGAAGCCAAGACGAAGAAAAAAGAAAACCCACCTCAGAAAAGTGAAAACACAGCATAGGGAACAGGATAAGATGTCAGAATTCAACAAATTTTGGGGACATCAACACAAATCTCATCACAAAATAAGAAAGTTCCACCATAAACTCAGAAACAAAGAGATTCATCACAAACCCAACAAAGCATCAGACCAAGTTACACCAAGAAAAGAGAGAGAATGAAGAAAAGATTGGTTCTTGGAAGAAAGGGTAAGTAGCTTACATGGGAGTGCTGATGGAATCTGAGGCTGAGAGAGGAGCAGTTTGCTTCATGGGGAAACCAGAAAGAAATCCACTTTTGGGAGGGAGCAAAAGAAGGGAGGTGGCCTTAGATGCTAAATTTCAGCTGCTGTTGCAGCACAAAAAGGTTGAAGAAACTTGAAAAGAGAAAGAGAACAACACATCCACACAGAGAGAAGAGAGAGCAATCCAGGGAGTGGGTAAGTATGGTACTCTTACTCTCTCCTAGTTTTTACTACTAAAGGCAGCAGTAGGTGAAAGTACAATTAAAAGGAACCATAAATAGAGAGAGAGAGAGGAAGAAGATGGAGAGTTGGCAGACAATTATGGGGAAGCAACAGCAAGCACACCAACAGAAGCTGAAGCTGTGAAATTATTAGTGAGGATTTTGTGTTTGAATCAACGAATTGATGTATCACATTAGAAAAAGTCAGAGGAGCTATTGTGCTAAACAGTGTGTTTGGCCTTTTTAAAAAGGTTTCCTTTTCCCAGGCTTAGCTTCTCAAAATCCAGAGTGGTCAGTGGACTAGTGTTCAACAGCTACACAGAGAGAGAGAGAGATAAGTACAGGATAAAGAGAGAGAAAAAGAGACACTCTTAATCAAACAAACAAACAGTTTAGAAAAGAAATGTTCTTTATTCAATTTAATTGATTAAATCTATCATATTCATATGCATGTTTCTGTGCTATTCCCCACCTTAAACAAGTGAACAGATGAAGAAGTAGAAGCGACAGCATGCTACTGCCACAGCAGAAGATGGGTGTGTTTAACTGTTTATCAGTATTGCCATATCTCCTTGTTCTTTCATATTTATTCCATTTTCCACATTGAAACAAAAACAAAATCTAATTGGGTAGGTTCTAACTTTGTGAGTTGGATAACCCATCAACATAGGGGTGAATAAAAATCATCGTAACCCATGTTGTATTTATGACTAAAATTAAAGTTTAGAGTTGGGTGCGGGTTTTATATTATGCACCCGTAGATATCTGATCCAACCCCATGTTGTAACTATGGTTCAAGGAATTCAACCAAAAGGTATTTATGTTGTATACAAGCATACTTTCGAGGGGATTGATATATTTTTTCCATATTAAACATATTTAATGTAAGCTATGGTTCATGCTATTTTTTTGTGTGTATACAATTTTAGAAGAATAACTAGAGGTGAGGTGATAAATTCATATCCAATCCAATCTGTCCATTAAAATATCCAACTAATAAAATTTATTTAAAATCCAATTCATTTGGAATTAAGGGTGTTCAAATGATTACCATAGTAATTACCAAACCAAATAAGCTCAAATTCTATTAACCATGGAATACAATGTCATAACCAAACCGTCCAAACTAATACAACAACCAAATTAACCAAACTAAAGTTTAATCAATTTGGTTAATTGGTTAACCAAAATAACCTATATAACATCACATTATCATTAAGTGATAAAATTTTTCCGGTTAGTGGATCAATTTGTCATTCATATAATGAATAACATATAACAATCAACACATAATTATAGCTAACCCTTTACATAAATATATGACAAATACAATTTTCTTACATTTGACTCTTGAGTTGTTATGCAAAGTATTAAGTATGTGTATATAATATATATTAGATATATGACTAATTACTTAACCGGTTAATTTGGTTTGATTGGTTAGAAGTGTCTGAAACCAAACCAAATCATCTAAACCAAACAAGCTAAAAAATTTAACCAAACCAAACAAATTATCCAAATTAACCAAACCAAATAAGCCAAATACTACCGGTTAAAACGGTTACCATAGTAACCACACCGTTACCCCTATTTGGAATGGTGAATTCATAGACTAGATTCATCTATTTTCTGCTTTGGTTGAGTTTTTACTTACAAGTATAGCACTTAGCACACCCGAGCCAACCCATTCATAAACAACTCATAAGATTCTTTTATTTTTTTTTCAAAATGAACTTGAATTTAGTATTTTTCATCAAAATATATAAATCGGATGATTTAAAACATCTAAATCCGATCCACTCGAACCAGGTACACCTAACATCCAAGCACCAACATAATTGGTATCTTACTTACACATTCCATGAAGTCCCATCCCTTAAATCCCACATGATCATTCTGATACAACAACAATAAACTAATATAAATGGGTACGACCTACTTGCTTTCATGGCCATCCTCCTTTGTATATCGAAGACTTTGTTCTGTTTTGATTAGAAAAGGAAAACAAGATGAAAGCCCCATACAGTTTCTGCCTTCTTCGATGTGGCTTTTTTAGTTCCAACAAATAACCAATCAATAAAGAGTGTGGGGACACTATATAGTACAAGACAGCCATTGTTTTTTTTTTTTTTTAATAATATATAAAACTAGAACGATCAAGTTGTTCGTATGAATTATCAAATATAAGTACATTACGACTACGACATATATAATTTTGCATGTTACATTAAAATATGGCTAAATTACACGTTTGGTCACTCAAATTATATAAATCTTTCACATTTACCATCCGAATCACTTTTCTTTCTTATTCGCCACTAACTTTACGAATCGTTTCACCGTTAGCACTGGCCGTCAGTCTCCGTTAGATGCCGTTAACACCGTTAAATTTTTGATGATGTGGCAAACAGAATTGCTGACTAGGCTGACAGAAAGGCTAAGATAAAAAAATTTATTAAAAAACAAACATTAAAAAAAACTACTCACCCATCCCAATTCCCGTCCGTGGCCGATCCCAATCCCCCTAACGTCGTCGTCTCTCTCTCTCCCTTCTGCCCGTCTTTTCCCACCAGCCGCCGTCAAAGAAGGAAACCCTACTGTCAAAATCTCCGGCGAACAGCTGCTCTTGGCTGGGGAAGTTGATCCACAACCCCCGTTTGCCAGCTCCAAGTCACAGATCCCCGAAATTGTGCCTGCCATCTTCCGCCTCTTGCCGGTTTTGTCGCACATAATATCTTGGAACCAGGACGATTGCCCGCTGAAAGTGATCTGCCATCAATACAATCAAGGCAT